CTGAAGTCCCACGACATGAAAACAGTCTGTGGCTTCGAGATGCTTCAGGACGGTTGTCAGATGAAAGGGAGCCGGCAAGGCGAGTGGCAGAGAGAGAAAGCAGGAACCAACAGACTCGTTAAATCATTGCCTTTTGAAATATACATCAAAATTCAACAGCGGAAAGTAAAATTCAAAGGAAGGCAGATACAAAGGAACAGACGCACTGTCAGTCCCTGAGCAGCGGAGAGTCTGGGGGTATCAAGAAGGCCTGGGCTTTTAGAAGCTGGTGCGGTGCGCAATGTGAGTTATGAGCCCGGAAGACCTGCATTCGAATCTTACCACGACAACAGATGCGCTAGATTACCCTAATCAAGGCACGGAAGCAAGGTGGGAACCTGGATACACAGAGACCTGCTTGCTCTGTGCTGGATCCAAAGCTGTGACTAATGGAGAAGCAGGAAGGTTGGGGAGTTAATACTGTGAGCCCCTCCATTCAGTGCTCAGGTTGTATATCTGTATAAATAAAACCATGCATCCTAAAGACACCACAGTCTCCACTGACCTTCGTTCCGAGGAAACTGAACCTGGGCAGATGCCTGAAACCTCTGGAGTCTCTTGCCACTCAGAAATTGGGGTGGCATGTGACACTCGCAGTGCCACTGATTGTGGGGGTCAAGCAATGTGTGTGGCGCTGGGAACTACCATTTCAGAATTTGCCGTGTTGCCACAATAAATCTTTCTGTGTATATTTTTGAAACAACAGTCCTTCCAGCTGCTGCAGTTTTAAGGGGGGACACTGAATGGAGGGGGAGGGCTATAAAAGCCAACCCCAAAATTTTGTATAACAATTTTGTGGCGTGTCCGCCGGGAGGGTCCCTACGCCCCACCAAGAGCCACAAAGGAAGTAATTCCTTTCTTTGTTTCCGATTCAGGGTTGCTTCCTTCCCGCCCTCAAAAAAACCAAAATCCTCCCTCTGCAAAATAAACAAACAGCTAATGAGAAGCAAGGGGGCCATCTGCCGCCTCCAGCATGGCCCAATCCCTCTGACGCCCAGCCCGCCGCCAAGACCATGCCATGAATAATGCTCCACTGCAAATATTTGTCTTCTCCAGCAGGCTCTCTCATCCAAAGGCAGGCTGCTTGTTTTTCATTTTCACAGAGCTCTCAGTGGGTGGGGGAGGGGGGAGGTGTGTTTCTTATGGGGCTCTGTCTGGGGCTGGATTAATCATTGTGGGAAGGGAGGGATGGTGCAGGATTAGGATCGTTTAGAGCTTCCCTTTGTTCCAAGGAGGCTCCTGCCATGGTACGTCCTTCAAGCTGTCCAGAGCTATTGGGTGTGTGGGACAATCGTCCCAGGTATTTGGGGGTGTCCATGAAAGAGCAGGGCAAAAATTCTTCAAATAAATACAGAAGATCCATACAGAAAATAAAATACGTATTTTAGGAAACCTCCCAACTGGCCCTTCTAGTCTAGCATCCTCTTCTCACAGTGCTAACAGGGTAGTGGCTTTTCCACTAAACACAAGGACACAGCTTTATAGCAAGGAGTTGGGTGCGAAAGGGAATAGAAAGCTGCCGTTTATCTGGGACCAACAAGGTCCTGTTATTTTATTGCTGGATTTCCAGTTATATTTAAAAATAAACCACAAGGGAGACAGCAAGGGACTTTTGCACAATGGTTGACTCCGTAGGAGGTCCAGACCGGATGGGTTTCCCTTTGGGAAGCTTGCCTTTGGTTTATAAAAAGTCCCCAGAAAAATTCTTGTGTGCCATATTTCACCTGGAATGGAACCAAGGCCTCCACATAAGGTGTAGCAAAGAGTTATTTGCTCTGATTTCAAAGCGAATCAAGCTGGATTTACATGCAGATTAGGACTCAGCTCTTTGGAAGAGTATGCAAGTCTCCAAATCTTGCAAGGTAGATTTGTTTTAAACACACAAACACAAACACACACACACACACACACACACAAACACACACACACAAACACACACACACACACACACACACACACAAGCATATTTTACAAACATGCATATTTTAGGGGGAAATCCAAGGACAATTGTATAAATGTGTATTTTAACGGGGGAAATATTTATTTTCAGAAAAATAATCTCCACAGGATAATCTTCCTGAATATTAGTGGATTTGATGGCACAACTTTACAATACTTTAATGCAATGTGTATAATATAGAATTTTGGGCATTTTAGAAGAATTTATTAAAATGCGTACAATAAAAATGCTTTTTTTTTTTAATCTGCAAAAATAATGGGACAGATCAGACCCGTGATTAAGGGCACACAAAACAGACCTAGATCTATCCACTCCTAGCTTCTTCCTCGGGGATCCGGTCACTGTGGAGGAAGTGAAACTGACCAGCCCAGCCCACCAGAGATCGCTGCTAGAGTCAGAGTCTGAGTCACAGACCAGCTGGGTGAGCTGGGACCAGCTGCTTCTCTTTGTCAGAAAGAAGGATCTTACGTCACGCTATCGCTGTCACCTTCTGCTATCCAAACCCCCCAGCACGGAAATCCCTATGAGTCATCCATCCCTTGAAGTACCAACAGGATCAAAACAGAACCACCTGGGGACTTGAGCTTCCATTGCTAGGGAGCAGACCATCATCCATTCTGACCCTCTGATGACCCCGCTTTCTTGGCTGCCCTCTCAGGGGCAAAATTCACCATCAAATAGGATCACACCCTGCAGTAAATGTAAGCCATACAAGGCTATGGCCCATCTAACTTGAATGGTGGGTTGGCAAGCACTTCAAACGCATTTGGGGAGAGATTCGAGAATGATCAAAATGGCAGATGGTCCAGTCCTTGGGGGACCATATCGTCTCAGACGTGCATGTTTTACCAGCAATCAAACCGTACCTTATTCCCATGATTACACACACACACACACACACACACACACAGAGGGAGGGGACTAATTTGAGCATGCAAAATTTAAGCACCATTACCACTTCAGACTACAGCCGAGGATGTTGTGTTCTCTGGACACAATCCTCTATCTGGCTCGGAGGGACAGGAGACATCACCACTCGGGGTGACGAGAGGGGAGGGGAGCTGGTACAAATTACTGGGACCTGGTGGTCTGGAAGGGGACTCAGGACCCGACTATCTTGAGTATGTTTTACAGGTATCTCACCACTTACGTGTGGTTGTGTATACGTGGATCACCTGGAAATCAATCAATCAATCAATCAATCAATCAATCAATCAATTCAAATCTGGAAATGGCAGGAGAGAGCTGGAAAGTCTTTGTGGCTCATAAGACTCTCCCCAGAGCCCTAAGAGGATGTCAGTGAGCCAAAAGTCCAGAAATAAAGGTTTAAAGGGCTTTTTAAAAAAAGAACATGTGGGTTCCAAAATGGCGCACAGAGTTTTTACAGCTGCTGCAGTATCTCACTCAGCAGCTGTTGGGCGGAAAGCTGTATTGCTTGGTTGCGCTGTTGCCTGCCCTTTCTGGCTATCTGGAGGCAAAAGTGCGGTATAAAATAAAAATGTGTGTCCAATGCCTCTTAAATTGCCCTAGTTCCCCTCTCTGATGAGGCTCCCCACTTAAGTGCATTTCATTGATGTGCCCAGGTGCACGGAATGTAACCCCAGCTTAAGTCGAGAGTCGCCTATCTATAATTCTTTTAAAATATGCACTTCATATTCAATACATGTACAACTCTGAACAGCAGCTTGCGAACTTGTGCCGTGAGACGAACATTTCTGAGTATTTCCAAGTCTCTACGAATATTCGCTCTTGCACATTGACAGTATGACAGCTCAGCCTCAACTTGTTATACACAATCACGTTTGTAGGTTGTGCGATACACATAATACTACTGTGGTTAGTTCAGTGACGATCATGCTGGTGCTTAGATTATTGTTATTAGTCACTGGATTGCAATATTGTCAACAGGTGCAAATATTATCATATTTCTTATTAACAAAAGTAAGACTGCACGTTTATTTTTATCTTGTGTAAACATTTTTAACTGGTTGGCCTTTGTTGAGAGGCCCCCCCCAAAATGTTTACCGGGTCCAAACTCGCTCACATTGCACCAAACTCACAATCCAGGCCAGAAGATGTTGCCCTATCAGGACTCCTCCAACTAAGACATTTCTCCAATTCATCACCTCCATACGGCAGAAACTAGCCATTACAAAACAGGGCAAAAGAGCAGTCAACTCCTCAGAGCAGGTGGGGTGAATAAGAGGTTCAGGCCGGCTGGCCCTCAAAAGGCCTCAGCATCTCACTGGGGCAATTGCAAGTCCCCAGCCAGTCCCAGCAAGCACAGCCTTCCGAGAGCCCCCCGGGGTCTGGTCCTTGCCAGCTGGCCTGGTGTCCACTTGGCCTCCCCTGGAACTGCAAGCCAGAAGGAGACAGGACAAGCAGAGGTGGTGGTTTTATACTCCCTCCTATGTAGCCCATATTCAGAACGGAGGCACCTCCTGACTCTAGCAAAGCAATTCCAATCGTCTCAGAGCTGTGCACTGAATGTGCGCAAGTGTGGGTTCAGATGCACATCTCACAACACTGGCGTTGACGGCGATAATTAGAATGATATGCTTTTGTGCTGCTGTTTTACAGGTCTTGGGTTGTATTTTTGCTTTGAGGATATTGTTTGCTTTTATATTAGAGGTTTTCAAAACGTTAAGAGGTTTACAAATGTTCTAAACTAAGTCAGTAAATAGAATTGGAATAATAATAATAATAATAATAATAATAATAATAATAATAATAGCAGCCAGCAGTAACATAGTGGTTAGAGTGTTGGACAAGGACCTGGTAGAGACCAGGGTTCAAATCCACATTCAGCCATGAAGCTCACTGGGTGACCTTGGGCCCGGCGTTTACTCTTAGCCTAGCCTACCTCACAGGGCTGTTAGGAGGATAAAACGAGAACTATGCATGCCACTTTGAGCTTCATGGAGGAAAGATGGGATATAAATGTAGTGATGGTGGTAGTAGCAGTAGTAGTAAATGCATAGTAAATGAATGCTGCGCTCACCCTTGCTCCTCCATCATCTCCTGCAACTCCATGCATTTCAGCTCCACCCGCCGCTTTCTCTCGTGGTCCAGAATCTCCCGGTGAGCCTTCTTCACCAAACCGGCCTCCACCAGCCTCACCTCGTCCTCTGGCTTGTGCCATGTGCCCGAGGCCCCCGCCTGGGGGAAGCCGTTGGAGGCCTCCTGTGGAGAAGGCATCCTGGCACCGTTGTTGTAGAGAGCCATGAATGCCGGGTGTGTATTTGGGTGGGTGGGTGGGCCCTTCTGTAGACCCTGTTGAGATTGAGGAAAGGGAGAAAGAAAATACACGTTTATTTCTGCATCCTAAAACACAGCAGGAGCTAAGCGAAAGGCCAGGTGCTCTCTTACTCAGAGGCTCTGGGAGAGCAGCATGCTAGGGACCAGCAAAGTTTCTCAGGAGGCTCACTTTTCCCTCCTCCCTCCTCCTCCTTTTTTCTTGTGTGACTTGTCCCTTTTTTTTAAGATTGTGAGCCAGTGGGCAGGGGAGTGCCTTAGGATTGCTTTTCATATGCCGCTCTGAGAGCCTTTTTGGCTAAAAGGAGAGGTACAGGTGATGTGAATAAATAAACAGGGAAACATCCGGAGAAGAAAGGTGTGTGATATGAGGAGTCCCAAGGGCCAGGCAGAAAAGCCTAGAGGACCACATGTGGCACTTGGGCCTGAGGTTCCTCATCCCTGCCTTTCACAAGCTCATTCAGCCCGGAGCATAAAATAACCCAACTTCACCACTGAGGAGCTTGAGGTCCCCTACTGAAGCCCCATTGAGGCCTGAAGTTCCATTGAGGCTCCACCAAATCCTGACGGTCCTCTGAGGGCTCCATTGAGACCCAAAGCTCCACCAAGGCTCCACTGAAACTTGAGGCTCCATTGAGGCCTGAAGTTCCACTGAGGCTCCACCAAAGCCTTAGGGTCCACTGAGGGCTCCATTGAGACCCAAGGCTCCACTGAAACTTGAGGCTCCATTGAGGCCTGAAGTTCCATTGAGGCTCCACCAAAGCCTTAGGGTCCACTGAGGCTCAACTGAGACCTGAGGCTCCACTGAGGTTCTACTGGGTCCTGAGGCTGCTAGTCCCCATCCTTTCACCACTGGCTCAGACTCTTATTCTGCAGCCAGACTGTAGTGGCTGGATTGGTGGCATGTCTCCCACCGCAGTGGCCAGCCACGGCACTGCTGATTAAAGGACTTGAGCAACTGGATCAGCTCCTAATCAGAGGGAAATTAGGCTGAGGTGTGTGTGTTTTCTCTCCCCAGTTCCCAGACCTTGATCAGGATTCCTGTCCAGATATCAGAATATTGAATGCCAGCCCTGGCTTGAAAGTGCAAGCAGCTGGGATACCCCGGGGGAGTTTGCCCTGGTGTTTGATGAGCCTCTTATTAGGGGCAGCGTAATTGCTTGTATCTTCCTCACGCATGGCACACACACACACACACACACTGCTCTGGACTCTGCAGAAGACAAGTTGCCTCATTTTCCTCCTCTTCTGCTTTTGCACAATCAAGATGCTAATTTGCCAGCTCCATCTTCCTGCGTGCAAAAGTATTGGCGGCAGCACTGGGGTGCGGGAGAGAGCGAGAGAGAGCGGGAGAAGAGAAATGCCCAATAAATAAGCGTATGCACCGGAGGGACTGGCGGCTTTGAACGCGACGAAAAACACCAATTAGGCGGGAAAGGAGTGACCCAAACAGTGTGTGGCTTGCAAGGGAAAGAGGATCTGAGAATATAACTACCACCACCCCGGTTCTATTTTTAATCTGGAACATTGCTCCATAGCTCCCCCCCCCCCACTTCCCTGCAGATCAGTAGCTTTTGACAGGGTCGGCTTTGGCAAGAGGAAGAAAGGGATTAGCTCAGGAATAGAGCATCTGCTTTGCAAGGCATCTCCAGGTAAGGCTAGGAGAAAAGGCTGTCTGACATCCCGGGGAGCCGCTCCTGATCAGTGTGGACGATACTGAGATAAATGATTCCGTTGAACATAGGAAGAGCCCTGCTGGATCAGACCAATGACCCATCTAGTCCAGCATCCTGTTCTCACAGCGGCCAAACAGGTGCAGGAGTGGACTTTGGCCTTCCAAATTCCAGCAGAGCCAAAATCCAGCACCTTCCGTTCTGTGCATGCAATACGTCATGGGTCAGCAAACTAAGGCCCGTGGGCCGGATCAGGCCCAATTGCCTTCTGGATCCGGCCCGTGAACAGTCTAGGAATCGCCACGTGGATCTCACGTTCTTTCCCTCTCTCACAGACGGCACAGCCACCGCCGCCTCCTCCCTCCCTCCTCCTGGCTTCTCCCTGCCCTGCCTAGAGGAGGAAGGGGGCTGGGCTTTGTTGGTGCCAGCAGCAGCAGTGCTCGAGCGGCCGCCATTTTAAGCAGCCCCTCTCCGAAGCCCTTTCACACGCCGCTCATCATCCTGCCGCTTCTGCTGCCAGCCCCGGCCGCTCGCAAGACACAGGTAAGCAGCCACCGGGGCTCGTGGTGCTCTTGCATCATTTATTTATTTTTTCAAAATATAGTCCGGCCCCCCACAAGGTCTGAGGGACAGTGGACCAGTCCCCTGCTGAAAAAGTTTGCTGACCCCTGCACTACGTCATAGTTGTGGCACCCTGCAGCACCCCCTCGGCTCAACGGCCAGTGTGGGGGAACCAGCCACGCTGCCCTAAATCTGCCAGGGAAACCCACAAGCAGGATTCGAGCACAAGCACATTCTCCCCTCCTGCAGTTTCTAGCAATGGGTATTCCAAAGCATCGCTGCCTTTGACTGTAGAGGCAGAGCTTAGCTATCATGGCTAGTAGCCATCAGCTGCCCTCTCCTCCATGAATTTGTCCAGTCCTCTTTTAAAGGCATCCAAGTTGGTGGCCCTCATTGTCTCCTGGAGGGGTGAGTTCCATAGTTCAACTAGTGTATGTGCTGCACAAAGAAGTCCTTTCTTTTGTTTGTCCCCTGAATCTTCTGACCTTCACTGGATGTCCTCGAGTTGGTCTGACACAGTGTAAAGAAAGGTCCTATTTTCCGACGAGCGGTTTATTCTGTTTCCGTACCTGAGTGCCTGCATTATGCTTGCATTTTCACACAACTTAAAAGCCAGTTCCAGGAATATGTAGCAGAATATAGCCCAGGTTTAGCATTCATTTCCATGCTACTCACAAACGGATTGTTTCTGGAAGGTGTGATGTGGAAACGAGCGCTAAACTTGCGCCAGATTCTGCTATATTACTGGAAGTCGCTTTTCTGTGGAGTGAAAGTTCAATCAGCTCCCGCCCGGGAACCAATGTCCCCACTGTGGAAGGACGTGTGGATCCAGAATTGGCCTCCACAGTCACTTACGGACTCATTGTTAAAACCGTGTTTAGGGAAGACAATCTTACTCGGCTATGAGTGGTTGCCAAAGAAGAAGAATGCAGAAATAAACAGGTAGGGAATCGCCGGGGAGATGGAATAAACTGCTGTGTGGATGCAGCTGGGCAAAGAGACTGTGCAGGCCAAGTTCTAAGCCCCAACCAGGAAGCCTTTATAGCTGGACTGTTCTGCTAAGGCAAATGCAGAACTACACTACTAATAGTCTCCAGGTTTGCCTGGTCCCCTGCAGGTGGCAGCGGGAGGACTGGGATCTCCAGGTGAGGGAGAGTCCCTTTAATAATAATCTTTTAAAATATTTTTTAAAAAAGAATTATTGACTATTTTCACATAACAAATTACGGTATTTCATCAATTGTATTTCCCCCCTCCCATCTCCCCCACATACCCTCCTCCCCCCTACAACTCCCCTCAGTTTCTCTTTCTGATTTATTAACACATATTATTCTCTGCAAAAATCTCTAAGTTATCCGTCTATTATATTAACAAATAAATTTGTGTCTGTTTATTCAAAACCTGCCAAGGAATCCAGTTCATTTTGTTGTTTCTTTAAGTACTTTGTAAAAGGTTCCCATTATTCTTTGAAGTCACAGTTGTCCTTATCGCGCAGTTTGTACGTCAATTTTGCCAATTCCGCATAGTCCGTCAATTTCTCTTGCCACTGTTCTTTTGTCGGGGTTAATAATTTAAAAAAATATTAATAAGGAAGCTGCAAGCTTCAACCTGGCAGGTGCTGGTTGCAAATTACAGCATAGACACACTGAGCTGTCCTGGTCTCCTCTGCTCCCTCCTCCCAATTAACCTCCATCGCCAGGATCCACCCCTGTGACATGACTCAGCAAAGTCAGCAAATGAGGCGGCCAGTTAGGAAGAAATTTCTTAGGGTTAGGAGTGTTTAACCAGAGGTTGGATGGGTGGCCATCTGTCAGGGCTTCTGTAGCTGGGATTCCTGCATTCCTCGGGGTCCCTTCCAACTCTTCAATTCTATGGGATATTTGGAGTAGCCTGGACCATAAAGAAGGCTGATCGCCGAAGAATGGATGCTTTTGAATTATGGTGCTGGAGGGAGACTCTTGAGAGTCCCATGGACTGCAAGAAGATCAAACCTCTCCATTCTTAAGGAAATCAGCCCTGGAAGGACAGATCCTGAAGCTGAGGCTCCGATACTTTGGGCCACCTCATGAGAAGAGAAGACTCCCTGGAAAAGACCCTGATGTTGGGAAAGATGGAGGGCACAATGAGAAGGGGACGACAGAGGAAGAGTTAGTTGGGCAGTGTTCTCAAAGCTACCAGCATGAGTTTGACCAAACTGCGGGAGGCAGTGGAAGACAGGAGTGCCTGGCGTGCTCTGGTCCATGGGGTCACGAAGAGTCGGACATGACTAAACGACTAAACAACAACAACAACCTCCTTCTAGTTGGAATACGGTCTTCAGGCTGAATTAGATTCCTCGCTCCCCTTGCAAGGGACTGCCTCGTGCCTCCATTGGCAATTCCGCCCACGTCGATGGCATATTACCGGCAGTGGGCATTTGTGGCACAACACAGCCCGGGAGTGCTTTTCAGCTAATTCTGAAGGAGCGCTCAAACACCAAGCAGAAATATAAATACAGCTGTCTAACCCTGTTGGCCGTGGAATTGACTAGAGACGGTTGCCGGCTGCTAGCGAGGAACAGAAGGGAATGAGGGCAGAATAGAGGCTTATAATTAAGCAATCAGCCACTTAATGGAGGTGGATTCGGCAGGAGATAAGAATGATTGTGCAGGAATTACTGGAGGAGAGGTGGAGCACCGCGTCTGTGTGAAAACAGCCGTCTCACTCAGGCAAGCCTGAAAATGTGCTGGAAACAGACGCCCTCTTCTAGAAGTCGTAACACATCCCATCCCCTTGCATTCTCCT